AAGGGGGGAAAGAAAAAAGAAAATATTATATAATTTTATAATATTCACAGCATATTTTACAGAAGCCTCCATGCGAAGGCACGATAGATTACAGCATGAGAGAGCAGTATTAGAGAAGAAGATAAGAGTGAGATAAGACGTTTCGGTCCAATAAGTCATATACGCCTTAACTCAACACCGCGCGACAGGACCTCGTCAGTAATAATGCGCTTGTCGTAGTAACCGACAAGGCTTTAAATTATAGGCAAAGATCTCTTCCGTATTCACTCTCTACCACTCTCTATGAAAGGTGAAAAAGCTCAGAAATAGCCTGAGTGATAGCACATGCCAACAGCAACCATGCACTAACAAAGCTGTTGGTGGCTTTCTTCTCCAAAGGGAGCTAGTTATAGGCTTCGACAAAATCCATTGGATCTCTACCGACTTCCTTTAAGTTTTGTCTTCACGTCTAATTAAAAAAAAAAAAGATCGATAAACATACGTTCCACCACAAAATTCTACAGCGGTGTTGAGAGCCAGATCGCCCTCCTTGTTTTTCAATAATTCTTCCACTGGTACACCCACACTTACTATCCGAACAGGATCCGGATAAGCCTAAAACATAGAAGTTTATAAAAGGCCCATATCTTCGGGTTTTTAAATATCATTTATTTGGTAAATCTATTGTACCTCTTCGAAGACTGCTCGCAGTCCATTGATCTGACGAGCTTCCGCAAGCTTCGCATTTTGAGCATAGACCGGATAATTCGTATCTATTAATTTCTGGGATTCCTCTTCCGCCATTTTTATCTGCAAAAGAAAGATGAGTTTATGAAAAATTAAAAAGTCGATAATTTTACTATTCCATTTTCGTTACTGAGTTTTTTCCCCAAAACGGCCATCTAATGGAAAATTGCTAAGTAAGGGACAAAACTAACACACCTGCTTGGAAGTCAGAGCTTGTTTCGATGTAAAATCGAATCGAAGCCGATCAGGCGCCACCAGTGAGCCTTTTTGCTCCACTTCAGCAATCACTTTTCTCAGCGCAAAATTGAGGACATGTGTACCCGTATGATTTTTCATAATCAGATTACGACGCTCCTGCAAGAATGTGTTAGTTTACGACTAACATATTGCTCTTCCTTGTTAAAAATAAAAGCCAAAGCAGAGCAAAAATCTATAGACACGCTAGATACAATGCCATAATTAGTGAGATTAATACTCTCCTGAAAAAAAAATCGTTTCTTTGTAAAGCTGGAGGCAATCAGTGAGACCAAATTTTGCAGCTTGGGACATCGAAACCAACAAAAAAAGAGACAAAATTGTTAGAAATTGCGGGCATCACATTCTTCGAAGCGATAGCAATGCTTTTTGCATGCAAAAAAAAAACAATTAAAAAAGAAAAACAACTGAAAACGCTTGGAAAATCGATGTTTCAGCACCTTAACGAATAAAGATTTGTTTGCAGCAGAGCCCTGAGCAAATTTAAAGAAATTAATTCTACCTCATCAATAACTTGGAGCACTTTATCACCGACAGATAATTTACCTTCCACCGCTCCAACAAGCACAACATATCCACCGCGCATTTGAACGTTGCTAACAATAAATTCGCTTGCCTGCAAGAATATGTTAGCAAAATCATGCAATCCTCCTATTCGACACCTCAGCACGTTCAAGGGTGATCAATTTGGGGATCAGACAGCGATTTGAGAACATCTCAGAATGGTTCCAGAAAATCGCTGAACTGGTTGATTCTTTCAGGGAAGGAAACGAACGTCAAAAACATCAGCAATCTGACAGTCAGATAATGTAGTCATTGGTAAAAACAACTAAAAAAGTAACCAGTTTCATAGTTTTTCACTTTCAAATATAGAAAAATTCTCTCAGCTAACCATTCTTTTCAAATTCATACATTCCAAAAATGCAAAAAAAAAAAAAAGAAACTAAATTTATCCGAAACTTTATCGGATTATTTCCGAGTGCCTTCGCTCCCTCCCCCTCTGCCCAATAGGAAGCTAATACTGAGGGGATTTTCTCTCTATTCAAGTCCGATTATCGCAACCAGGTTCAATTTTCGACAATTATTGCTGAGATGCAAAACGAACTTCGTCGCCAATCTTCGTCAAAACTCCCGTGTCAAAGATCTGCCCGCCTTGTTCTGCATAAAAATTCGTTTTGTCAAGGATCAGAGCGCCAATATCTCCCGAAACAAGAGTATCCACGAACATTTTGTCTTTTCGCAAAGCAACGATCGTACCTTCACATTTTTCAAAACCTGCAAAGACAACAGTTTTGCGAAAAACCAGTCCCACTAACCTTCACAAATCGGCCTTTCATTAAAAAACTTACTGTACATTATTTGTTCACCATTGGCTGGTAATGCATGATATCTATATTTTGGTGACTCATCGGTTGTCGGTATTCCTCGAGATTTCAGTTCTGAGATTGCGTTAACGTCCAGATCAATCGTATTTCGCACCTTATTAACATTTGCTGCCGATATTTCCTAGAAATCACGGTATGATACTATAAAAAAAATCAAAATTTCCTCCACCTGCACTCCACATGAAAGGCCGATACACTCGGAAGTGGTTCATTTAGTGTCACACAACTATCCGCTGGCAAAACTGTCGGCGGCTTGCTTTTTGAGGGCTGCTCAGAAGCAAAATAATGGCGATTGTGTCTTTCTGTTATGTGCTTGTGCCAATTTATCACTGAAACGAATGAACCAGTCGTGGAAATACACACTATCCCCATGGCAGATCCGACTCCTGCACCTTCAGCATGACAGTAGCGCCAACTGTCACTTCATCATGCCCCCCCCCCCCAACAGGATAACTTCATCCTACGTTATTTATGGCTGTGACGTGCAACTTGATTAATATAAAGATATTACTCACTTGCCAAAAAAGGTTTACGGCAATTTAAATTTAAATATTTTATGGTTATGAAAAAGGTTATGACTAAAAAGCAAAACGTAAAAGTAAAGATAAAAATAATAAAAATCGAATTGGAATGTTTCGGCTCATTAAGTCGCACACATTCCCATTCAGTGCTGCAGCTGGACCTCGTCAGTGTGATGGTTGCAGCGTAAGAAAACGTATTAGGAAAAACGCATTATAATGAGTTGAACTTACAACTGCTTCCTGTCTGCACTTATCAAATTCTTCTAGGTCAACAACGAGGCCTCTTTCTTCTGCCATAAGTTGCGTTAAATCCAACGGGAATCCGTACGTATCGTATAAACGCCATGCAACATCGCCTGAAAAGAAGCAAAACAGAGTTTTCAAAAAAAAAAATTGATCTGAAGGGGTAAAGAAATAAAATAACCGGGAAATTTATTGCGTCCTTGGAGTCCAGCAACCGCCTTCTGGAAGAGTGCTCGTCCTCTATTCAGCGTCTTCAGGAACTGCTTCTCCTCATCATTGATGATATCCATAACAGTTTGCGGGTCCTTGTACAATTCAGGAAATGTTTTACCCTCAAAAAAAAAAAGTTTTTTTTGAGAAACTAAATAAACTACACAGAACAGTGAGATATCTCAGTCGGATTTAACAGTGGTAAACACACATCAGGAACACTTCGAACCTAGTCACAGCACTGCGAAATGCTTCTGTTAGCCTCCACGAGATGAAACGAACGTTAGAATCATCGGCAAGACGATCACCATTGATCAAAGAATAAGGAAAAGTTGCCAGCTCCAGGATCCAAATATTCCAATATTTATAAATGAGAAAAACTTACAAGAACATTAACGACGGTTGGGACCAACGAGGCGAAGAAACCCGGCGGAGCTTCAAGTTTCTCACTTGCGTATCGCACGCCGCGACGA